AGAAGAAGAACAATTCCAGGTATGAGGAACATTATTTGAATGGGGTTGCCTTCAACGTCGCCACCGAAGATTAGTACCTAGGCTTAATACTGGATTCCAAACAACATCTATAGATAGCGCATGTCGACGACATCACCTCCAAATCCACGAGAGTACTAATGGTGTGGCAAAGTCTGACAGGTAAGGATTGGGGCTGCAGTCCGAAGATCCTAAGATGGATATATGCAATGATAGTTAGACCAATAGTCACATATAGGGCGATGGCTTGGGTCTCAAGAATCCCCCTAGCCACATTAAGGCAATCTCTTTCGAAGCATCAACGTCTGTCGTGTGTATGTATGCTACGGTAGCGCTAGAGGTGATTCTCGAGCTCGAGTCGCTTCATCTTACCATAGAACAGGTAGCAAAGCGAGGTCTACTAAATTCACAAGAGAAGGTTTTGGCAGTGTCAAAACCTTATCATCAAGGAACAGAGACAAGTTAGGCTCCCAAATTGCCTTAGCTTTGTTTCCCAGAGATGATAGGCCTAAATCAGTCGATAAGAATTTTAAGTTAGAGCTTTGCAGAACCTCTCTTATGGCGAGACATATATAAGCTAGCTCGCTTCAATGGTGTACAGAGAGACATCTGCGGAAGCTCTGGGTACCCATGGGAGCACACCCGGGCAACTTTCAGGCGGAGTTATATGCCATTAGTCTGTGGGCAGAGATTGGCCTACGAAGAAATTCTCATATGGAGTGGTAGTCAGGCTGCACTCAAGGCCCTCTCATCATTTGAGTTCAAATCCTTCTTGGTTTTTAAGTGCAACCAATTTGAGAGCCGGGTAACGTAGGAGTTGAGGGTAACGCGGAGGCAGACAGTCTAGCCTCGTCTCCTATAGGGTGTGAGCTCTCCCTTACGATCGGACCTAGCACAATGAAAGCGCTCAGGAAGGAGAGGAACAGACTCAGTGTACAATACGGGGGTAACACCGCAGGTCTGCACCAGGCTAAATGCTAGCTGGTAGGCTACAACCTTAAAAGAAACAGGGCAATCATAACAGGTTTTCTGACGGGCCACTGTATTCTTAAAGGTCACCTGTACAAGCTAGGAATCGGGTTAAACGACCCATGTCGTTTCTGTGAGTTGATTGAGGAGCGTCCTTTACACCTGCTGCGTGAGTGCGAGCCAACGCCTGGAGATTTCTTCAAATTTCTGAGATCTTAGGGTTGAGTGAGGTACTGTGAATTTTTGAGGGCACAATAGACCTCTTGGTCTATCTATCTATCAGTAATAATCAGATACGCGAATGCGATAAATTTTTGACTCGCTAGCGAAACCATAAAGTACTAAGGGTTCACTTCAAGGGTTAATGTTTGACTTAAAAAATTACAATTCCCTACAAGACACGACTAACCGAAACGCATTTCGATTTTTGAACTAGATATGGGCGCGTGAGTGATTTTGACTCACGTTCACGCATGCTCACACTGATGGTTTTGTAAATCACGCACACTCACCTTGCGCTATATTTTTTTCAATCACGTTCACGCACGCGCACGACGCCTAGTTTTTTAATCACGTACGCTTCTTCATGGAGATTTTTTTGAAATTGAAACGATTTTTGACGCCAACCAAGCAATCTTGTACCTACAGTGCCGAACAGAAGTATTGGCACAGTGAATTTTTCGCAATATATGCAAAGTTCTTTATTCTAATTTATTTCCGATAATTTTTTATAAAAATATTGTTCATTCTACACTAGAAAACATAATAATAAAATCTCTAAACTTTGTGCAAAACTCAGGAAAATTTATTAAATTTGCACACTAATTTGCAACTTTTTATTCAGATTTTTTAGAAAAATTCTAAGTATGCAGTTTTATAGCCCATTCAAATTTAGTATAACAAAGTGCAAGTTTGAAGTCGCTAGAAAATCGCATTGATGTCGGTGTCGGTAACGTCGATAACGATGTTTAACCGGGGATTAGTGTTAACCAGGCTTTGAGCAACCGGCCCTAAAAGTTGTTGAATCGTGTTAAGAGTGCATTTAACACGGGATTAGTATGTATGTGTTTTGCATATGTATGTATATGTATATGTATATAACACAGGCACTACACAAAATCTCCTATGGGCCGATTTCACCATATCTGGTTATATGCATATAACATTGTGTCGGTAACGTCGGTAACGATGTTTAACTGGGGATTAGTGTTAACCAGAGATGGTGAAAATGGCCCTATGACTTCATATTTCTGTCAAAATTTTCAAGAGAGAGTTAGCGGTATCACAATCAGCGCCACCTTCGGTGTCGTTTCATCATGGTTTTACAGCAAACTAATTGTGTTGGGCCAAACTGCTGTAAAATTAGTGTAGCCATACAGAAAAATTTTAGGTAATTATTGTTATACATAAACATTGCAGTAAAACTTAACAGGTCTTTCGGCACGTTACCGAAGATTTTGCAACCGGAATGTTTTATTACCACACAATGTTACCAGTTATTGTTACCGCGATTGTAGTACGTTGGTAATGTAGTTAAAATATTCAGCAATTCAGCTATGATTAATTGTGGAAATTCTGGCATTGCATATTTCACGGGGCAATATTTTGTTACCAGCTTATGAGATGGTAACAAAATTTATCGGTTACAAGAGTATACAGAATGCGAAAAGGGTATTAAAATTGAAAGGAACTTTATTTACCGGTTACAAAATTTTTATTACCAGCGCAGAATAGACCTGTAAAAGACAGAGAACTGAATTTATGCTGTAGGAGCTTCAAAGTTTAGGGCGCTATACAATATTAAAAAAAATATAAATTTTTGCTGTAGGAGCTTCAAAGTTTAGGGCGCTATACAATATTAAAAAAAATATAAATTTTTGCACGATACATACATACATACATGTATGTACATCTGCAATTTTCATTTCGAGTTGGCTATAACCCTAAAAACCACAACCGATATGCAACCTTGTGCCAAACTTGACGTAATCACCTCAGAGCAAACTAAGCAGCAGCCATTTAATTTTCCAAACAAAGGTTTGTCTGCATAACACCGACGTTTGTTGAGTTCGTTCGTGAATATTCTACTGGCCGTGGGATTCGAACCTACGACCTCGCGGCTCGTATATCCGCATTATTGCCGTCTGTCAATGCACAATTTTGACTAGATCAGTTGCGCCGTTAATTTGGATCAACGTTTGTCTATGCTTTCAGGTTCTTGCGAAGCCAGGGCGGGGATGGAATTTCAAATTTTCTAAATGTGCCTAATGGTCTTCAAAAATAGTACCGAAAAGAAGATGGAAGTGCCACAAAATTAAATTTCTTTGAAGGTGTTCTAAGAGCAACATATTGTTAGAAACAATATTTTTAAAATATACTGAAGTAATATAATAATTATTAATTAACTAAATTATTAGAGTAAATCACTTTTATGAAGGATTCCTTAGACATATACTTAAATACACCGGGATATTGCTATTCCAACATTTTTACACACATGTGTGTGTACCTAAATGCGAAATAATGGAATTTTCATTAATTATTTTTTGATTAATTTTATGTAAAATTCTAACTCATAATTTTTTGCCCTGGATGTTGCAGAATCTTCCACTTTTATTTAATGGACTTTGCAACTGCAAACTTAGAACCTTTCTAAAAATTCTTAATTAAAAGCTTGTTGTTGTGAAAACTTACTTTTCGTACTGCGTATTCACATTAGAATTCAGCGGCTTGTGAATATTTCTCACGGGCCTTAGTTTAATTTTTTAGTGCTTTTAATATTCACTTTTTGTAATTTTTTAAACTATAATGTGGTTTGTAATTTTTTTTATATACATATTGGCATTTTATGCTAAATTTTTATATTTTATGATTGTGCCAAAACAGGGCTCGAACCGTAACATCCGTTCACGGATCGAAAACGATACGAAAGAAAATTACGTGATACGTCAGGCAGTATAAGCTGAATGGGACAAAGAGTACGTTCACGTATGTCATAATCCGAAAAATGTGTTTTTACGTGACGAGTAGTACGCTATCGTATGTGACGATTCGAGCACAGGATGAATTGTGCCAAAAGTGCCTCTGAGAATGAAAATGCCAAAAATGGCCCTATTGTGCCTACTTTTCCATCACTGCTACAGGGGGAGGGGGAGCGTGCCACTAATATCCCAGTGAGAAAATGGGGAAAGCCTAACCTTTTTTAACCAAGAAAATATTAACAACTACTGTTGAACGAAAATATGCATCGCAATGTAATCGAGCGGATAATGTGTAGTTTTGAAGTCACAAACAAAACAAAAAGATGGAAAAGTAACTGAAGTATGTTTTTTTTCGCGTTATCTCAAAAGGTGCTATAGCCGAATGGATGCGCGTTCTGCTGCCGTGTATTGGTCACGGGTTCGAAACCTGTGGTACGGACTTTATTTTTTATTTGTAATTGCGACACATTACTTTCGTGTGACAACGCTGTAGGGAAATTCTTGCATTTTTTCGTGTGTAGGTTATAGGGTCTGTCCATTACCTTTTGCATTCCCAAACATTACCTTTTCCTACTGGGACCTTTTACTGGGATTTATTTACAAAGTACGTGTGAAACATACATACATACATACGCGTCATTATTGTATCATCCAGGCAACAGTCATCCAATCAAAAATGACCAAATGTATTTGCAAAACCTGATAAAGAAAGAACGAGCGAAAGTAAGATACAAGCAGAAAATGGATATAAAGGAAAAACGTTAAAAGGGATAATGGGGCCCTAATTGCGGCCTTTGTTATTAATAACTTCTATTTGCTCACTCATCTGTATCAAAGTTTAATAACTTTTTGAAAGGCCCATCATTTATTATCAAATCTTAAACGAAATCAAACTATTAATGCTAAATTCCATCTTTTCTTGCATCCGATACGCTATTCAGTGTTGCATTCTTTGCCTTTTGTGCCGGTCTCGCTGGCAAACCAACAGTGTTGCTGTTCTTTTCAATGAAGCACAAATAAAGCCCAGCCAACGAATCGAACGAGTTATCCATGTCGAGCGAGTCAACGAGTGCAAGCACAGGAATTAACGTAGTGAGAAACTTACGTGAAAATCGAATTTTTTGTTGTGATTCATTGACGTTTTTGTGGAAAAATTAACAACATTTTTAAGTTAAATGAAGAAATCACTTGAAATCTGTGAAATCTTGCAATATTTTTTTAGCAAAAAGCGCAGTCGGACAGTAAATGTTGGATAGGCGCAGCACCGAACAATTGAAATTTCAATACATACAAACGGCAAATAAAAGGTGACGAGGAGAAAGAATTAAATTAATATTAAGAGGTTTGGGGAAGGAGGCAATCATACAAGGTGGGGACACATGTTTAAATACCAAGTAGATAAAACAAAAAAGAAAAGTACTAAAAATAGTTGAAAAGGTATATATTATTAGCGGTAACGGCGAATTATTAATCTATACCAGTAAAATTGTTGACTGAAGTACATATAGTGCCAGGAGAAACCTTAAACTGTTCGGAAAAGTCAATTAGTAACGGGGCTGAAAAAATTGAACAATACAAGCAAACAAAATCCAAAGATCATCATTGTAGCTAGAAGCACTGAATTCATCATAGTATTGACATTAATTTGACTTTTGCCTTGTGGAATTGACGCAGTAACAAATTCACACTTGAGCGCAATTGGAATCCATAGCAATAGCTAAATTGGACAATGAACGAAACAGCAGCGGCTACTTCCTCCTCGTCGACGTCGTCGGCAGCGGCGGTTGCAGATAGTGCCAGTGCAGCAGCAACCACTAAAACTGCAAATGCTGTTGGAGCATCAGTGGCTGGGGCGGGTAATGCAGCGGCAGCAACTACCTCTACAACAACAGCAGCAAAATCAACAAGTGTGAAGCTTCTAATTAAAGCATCAAATCAACAATATGATGATCAAGTTCTCGAAATTGACTTGCTATGGACGGTAAAACGGCTAAAAGCACACTTAGCACTGGTGTACCCTAATAAACCGGTATGTATTGATTGTGTTTTTAACGAAAAATTCCAAATCACTCAACATTAAAATGATAATTAAATGATAATGTATGCATTTGTCCTTTCAATATTTATGTGCATTTTTTTGCAAATATTGTTTGAAGGTATCGTTTAATTGTAATTAGTAGTTTTATGCCCATAATTATTAGTACCTATGTATAAATTCTATATAGCCATCACTAGAGCGGACTGCGCCTCTCGTTCGGAAGGGCGGTAGGACGGCAACCGTTTGGGTTTGTAATAGTAGAAGAAATGCACTGTTTAGCTTTGCAAAAAAAAAAAACAATATACAGGCAGGCTCTGCAATTAATTCCGAGTGAATTGTAAACAAAGCCCCTCTGATTTCAAATTGCAGAACTTGCCTGATATGTACATATGTATCTATAGAAGTTACAGCCTTAATGAAATAGTGAAAAGTAAAATAAAAATACTGCTAATTGTCTGCTTGCATATATACATAACAGAAATGCATTGATAGATGATCAAGAGGTACCTAGCGTTAATTCAAACACGCCTTAAAATTTATTTTAAAGAGTTTATTGTGGCGTGACAGTACCTAAATGTGCTCGACTTTGCGTAATTCGTACTTATTTTTGTTATTTTTAAACATCATTGAACTTTTTTGTTTATTTCGTTAGCTCAAGTTTCCTTAAGTCTCTAACGGCTTACGTGTATGTTTAAGCGTATTCTTATTGCGCCATTTTATTTATTTGGTTTTTCGTATGCTTTTTTATTCTGTTTCGTTTCTTTATGTGCGCAGCCCTTATCTTATCAATGTTATAGTACGCTCCCAGTATATGGTTCCAAACGCTGACACTCGTAATTATGTACATACCAACATATACATACAAAATATATGTGTATGGCAAAACAACTTAAGTCTGTCTTTCACAGCCAAAATAAATAGCACATGTCGACAAAACATATATTACCGCCAAAAAGAGAAAAGTTATAATTCGAAAGAAATATTAAACCATTTTATGCCTGCTCACAACCTTTTAAATGTTTCTGTTTTCAACTACTGAATGCTTTTTTTTTTTAATAAAATTCATTGCTCTGCCCATGATAAAAACAGCTTTGCCTACATATGCTATTTAGTTTGTTCGTGAAAGACAGACTCAAGTTGTTTTTCAAATGTCCACAGATATGTATTTATAATATTTAACTTAAATACAGTGAAGAACAATATTAAAGCACTCATCTTACGTGCTTTTAAAAATGTTTCATGGTATATGTTCATTCATACAAATCTATTCGAAATAGATTAAATGTGTGTATATATTATCTAAATTTTTAAATTGATAGCCAGGTTAAACGCCAGTAAAGCTGTATACTGAACAAAGGACAAGATAATTCTATTCTTCTTCAAATCTGTGAAATTACATTTAATCTATTCTTGTGATCTATTCAAAATAGATTATATGTTCATATTATTTATATGAAGGTTCAATCATTTCGTCCTTGAGATTACCTTTCTGTTCAGTATGCAGGCAAATAAGCTTTTAGCTTGGTTATCTGTTTAATGTACATACATTACTGGATAAGTCGATTAGTTTTGGACCGTTTATCTTTGTACATTTTGCCCTTTCAACTCCTTGGTAGTTTACATCTTTTTAGTTTTTTTAAAAATATATTTTATTTGCAGTTGAGCTGGTTAAAGATGAAACCATTTAGTGAGAGTTATAATAAGTTATTGTACTAAATTGCATAGATCCCTACATACATATTCGTCGGCTGAAATGAAAAAGGCTGTATCTAATAAAAAATCAAAATGGTTTATTGATTTTTTATGACGTATATTATCGAATTACAAGTACCCACACCGTTTTATGCAAAAACAATTTTGCTAGATACGGCTTTTTGTATATCAAGTGGGGATATGTGCTCTAGTTTTTCCCAATGCTGTACATGTAGAGTACGTTTTTTCGCTGAGGATCTGCATGCATGTGTATTGTAAATGAAAATTTTGCAATTGTGCCGATTGGTTCAAGACCGAAGAATTTACATAAGTCTGAGTTCGTAATTTTTGTACGGTTTTATTTATTTCCTTTCAAGCATACGATTAGAATTAGTAGATATAGAAATGCCAGAAGTTTCGCTGTTGACTCTTATTCGTAAGTTCATAATTGAATTTAGTTAGTGAGTTTTGAGGCTGTTGTGGAGTGCTGTACAATTTTTTGCTTATTATTTATTTAGGTGGGTTTACTATCACATCGTATGTCGCCTTCGAGACAATTTCAATTCACTATAGTAGACCAATTGAATTGGTACACGTGTACCATCTACAACGAAGAAAGTATGTATATGTAAAAAAGTTAACAGTGACTTACGTGTTTTTGTGTTAGCAACATACTCGTATATGAAGCAAAGAATTTTTATTAGGTTTTATAAACATTTTAAAACAATTCTCTACTAAGAAGTACCATATAACATCGTCATCAAAAAATGTTCTGATGTTCCCTTTTCGGATTAAATTCGTGCATTTCGCGTTTGTTTGCTCTCAGTTAGCAGCCCATGACAAAAATCTAAGGCATTTCTTTCAAAATACGAGATATACATACCTATAAGCGTCTTTAGAACATCTCTGAAAACATTTGCTAAATAAAATTTAATAGTTTTTCGCTTCTCCTATGGAATTTCTAATTTCATTAAGAGCCTTTGTATTGGTGAGGGCGATTCGTCTAAATACTCGTTGCAAATAAATTTTTTCCGATATTTGTAGTACCTACACCTTCTAATTTTTCGCAGAGCGATTAAAGCTTTTCCGTCATTGCAAGAAATACATACATTCAAGCTCGATGATACTATCGTTCAACTCATCAAAACATAGGCAAGTTAAGCAAAAGAAAACATATTGGCGTAATTATAGTTATGCACATCGGCAAATGTGTACATACATACATATCTGAAATTTCAAGTTCATGTGTACAGGTTCCGATTTAAGTGCATGTCTGGTAGTGCCTCCGATTGCGGAAAGTGCAAGCGACACGTCATCTTTCATTGCAAATTTCCACACGGGATTGTGCTGGCGTTGAAAGTACATCTACACCTATGTTTTTTGCGTTTACTTATATGTATATGAAACTATTATTATTATTAACAATAACAGCTGTGTAAATTGCTTTTTTTCTGGAAGACGTGTAATCTTTTTTTTTAAATTAAGAGTTGTATAGTTAATTATGTATTCATAAAGAACATTATTTTGAAGGAAACAAACTTTATTTAGCGTTAACGAACTGTTGATTACTTTTCTATTGCAGCCAGTCGATGAGCAAAAATTAATTTACTCAGGCCAACTTTTGAACGATGACTTATTGTTGAAGGATGTCATACGCAGTTACAAAGACGTTTACACTCATAATCATATAATACATTTAGTGTATACACCGAAGAACTCCTTTAATACGAATTTCGCGCAAAAAACCAAAGGCAGCACCTCCAATATGAGTCCCAATACTAATAACACAAACGCTGATGGCTTGCGACAACGACATATTGCTGGTGGTGGTATGTCGTCCAACGCAACCGCCCAACAAAATATTCAGCAGCAATATTATCAACAATATCAAGCGCAACATCCAAATTTCGTTTACCCACAACACAATCAACAGATGCTTAATCCACTGTGTCCTGTTTACGATCCTAATAACCCACAATATGCGCTGCCATTTGGTTTTCCTGGACTATTAAATATGCAGGCCATGGCCACTCAACAGGCTGCCATCTACAACTGGATGCAGCAGGTGTACTCACAATACATGGAACAGTGTATGCGAATGTAAGTTTTTTGAGTTTAAGTTTGTAATGTTATAAGGTTCGCTACGCCAGTTTTATATCATACATTTTATTTTAGGTCTAATACAACGGCTACTGTCACTGGTATCCCCAATTTATTTGCAACAAATGCAGCAGCCAGTGCTGCAGCAAATATGCCAATAGCTGGGGCTGCTAACCCATTCGGATTTAATCCATTTCTACAGCAGATGCCTTTTCTAGCACCAACAACAGCGGCGGCGGGTGTGGCCACAGCCGGCGCAACTCATCCTGTGATACCAGCAGCTACACTGTTGTCGCAACAGGCTCGCCCAGCTAATTTAGTTGGTGCGCAGCCCGTACACGGCACGGATGGTAATGCTGCTGCAATGCAAGCCGCGGGCGGTGAGCAAGCACAGGCGCAGCCGGAGCGGCAACATGCGGCTGCACCACGCTTCCCTAACATTGTGCAGGATGAACAGGAGAATCGTGATTGGCTGGATAATTTCTTTTCGATAACACGTCTTGCGATCTTTCTGACAATTCTATACTTTAATTCATCTCCATTGCGTTGTATCGGTGTCGTTGTAATTGCTGGCGTTATTTATCTGTAAGTAAATGATTTGATAGTATATATTGTCGTCATCATTACCAAAAGTCTTTCGTGATAATTATTAAATTATTGCAATAATTGAACACGGTTGTGTGGAATAATGGAATATTTACAGAACAATGAACGCAGAATATTCTATTGATTTGCTTTAAAGAAAATATGAAATGGTATTTTCAAATTTCGAAAACATTTATTTTACGCTTATTTATACTTTAAGCTTTATTCCTGATCCCATTCAAAATTAAACATTTCACTTAGGTTCTTTGGTAATGACGACGATTTCTAACCGTTTATGCGGTGTCCACAAGAGTTCATCAAATTTAATATATTCATCATCAATATCCATTAAATGAGTATTATCATTACGTCTTATCTTATCTGTTTGATGCTTTTCAATATGGTAATTTATGGCGTTATGATTTACAATATTCATATGACTTCTACTTTTAAACGGGGATTTTTTGAACGGCGAGAGACGATCGTGTTTGACGACTGTTGTTACTTCGTTAATTGTGGATTCTACTACAACTTTGCAATTGAAGTGTTCACAGACTAGACTTAACAAATTGATGGATGTCAGTATTCTATTTGATATGTTAAAGTGCGACGCTCAGTAACAGCTATATTAATTGCACATAAATTTAACTTCCTTGACGCGTATTCTCTGCTATATCTTAAATGAATTTATCGAAATTCATACATATTATGGCATACATTTAATAGCTAAAGCTGATTTAGGAGAAAATTGGGTTATCAATAATTTATAAACAAAACTGCACATTTACTTGCAGCCTCCTCCACTGCAACGAAATTATTTGTTTATTATTATTTAAAAAAAAGCAGGGAGCGTATTTTTCATCATATCAGAACCTTTCATATGATACAAATTTGGTTTCTAGGATTTAATTGTTATTCCTAAATTTTCGCGTGGAACGAAAGCTCTTGCTCTTGCAATTTTTATGATCATTTCCATAACATTTACAAGCATATTACACAAGTGGACATCCAGAAAATGATGCCAACAAATACTCGTAGCAACCATACTATGATTTTATACATAACTCCCTTTCGCCTCTTTTTCACAGCTACCACATTGGTGTGTTGCGCCTGCGAAATGAGCGTAACAACAATAACATCAATCGTAATAATAATGCGGCGGATGCAGATCAAATCCGTCGTGGTGTACGACAAGTGCAACAGGCTGCACAGGCCAACGAACAGCGAAATCCCGAAAATGCTGCTGCTGCCGCTGACGATGCCGTCGATGTGCAACAACAAACTAACGCGAATTCTGCTGGAGCCGAGGGTGCGGCGGCAGTTGCAGCTGATGCCACTGAAAATAACGATAATACTGCATCTGTGATTTCTGTTATGCGCACTTTTGTGGTGACATTTTTCACTTCTTTGCTACCCGAAACGCCGACACTGTAAATCTACTAAGAATAGTTTCAAAGTATGATAGCTTGGCGTTTTTGAATGGTTTTAAAGACGATGTAGGCAGTTGTTTTCTATATGTATAGATATTTAACATTAACGATTTCATCTATTCAATATTGGTTTATCTTCCGAGATGATGCGATCGATTTTGTTCAAAATGAAAAGCGAGAAAAACTGAAAACAATTGTTATTAAACATATTATCACCAACTTTATTTATATGCGCAAATACATACATACATAAGTAAGTTCGCTCTGAGTTTTTTTAAAAGTTGTCAAAACTAAGAAACAATTTGTGTACATTTTTATGCGCAAACTATTGTTTACTAACTCTAGAAATGAAACGATGTATTTTGCTTCATTTGTTTACTTTTTTTCATTTTTGAGAATTAAAATTATAAAAGTATTGAAATAACCAGTTAAATAAGTGCTTTGTCACGTCTCACTATTAAAGCGATAGCATTCATTGCAAACCTACATACATACATCTTTCATTGGTGAAGAATTCATTTGCTTATTGACTTGAAATTAAAAAAAAATGAATTCTTTTGCTTATCTATAATGGTTACATCGCTATTTAACCGCACCTATACTATTATCTTATTATTGTTTTAGTACATATAGTGATTTTTTTGCAATTGCTGCGCCTGTTGGCGTTTTTTGTATAGTTTTTAAGTGATAAATAAACACACACGTACATATACTTACATATACATACGCATACAAATATTAACTACGGGAAGTATATTTGTGGTAAGCTGAATAAAAATAATAAAAAAATGCTTTATTCATTTATAGACTACGTAAGTGCATATTATTCGTACTACCGCTGTTCATATTGAATTTATTTGGAAGTATCTTTTTGCAACAAAAATGAAAATTTGAGTGTTCTTGAAGTTTATAAGCATCGAAAACTCGGAAATTTTGTACACATTTACCGAACTATGTACATATGTAAAAAAGTTTGTATGAAAAATACTCTACCCAATTCGCGTTTTGGGTGTGTCCTAATTTAAACTGAAGACTAATTGGCTCATGAAAGTTGGGCTCGCGTTACCCAAACGCTTGTCATGCTGGTGCTACATTTGAATCATTGCGGTTTAATGTAACCGTCCAGCGCTTTATTATGCCAAAGACCAAATTAAATAATTTTTCTTTGTTTGAGTAAGTCGTTAAGGTAGAGAAACCCTTCTTGCTTTTTAAATAAATCTTTGCAATTATTTTTTTTTTTGCAAAGTGCTTCTGTTCTTCGAGAATAGGTAAGCTGCAAATATTTTTTTGGTCGTCGTGCCACCAATCATTGCTTCCTAACGCAATTGCTAGTGCACAATGTTTGGTGGAAGTGTGAACTAACACCTCCGCGTGGTGACGACCGGGCAACGCCTGCAGTACGGTCATGTCTCTGCTGTAGGCGGCTAAGTTAGTTCAGGCGGAGGGAGACAACCCTCTTACTTGTACGGGCAAAACCACAAAAAGAAAAAAACCTCCCTAATCCGAGGGTGTTAAGCGTTCCGTGCCCATTCGGCTGGTTTGCAGCCAGGGAGTAATATCGGCTGTATTCGAACGGAGCTCCCCCGATACCGGGTCGCCTCGGGGTGGTATCATCGACCTTACCGTGGTATAGGGCGCTGCCATGGCTGACCAGTCATTTCCCTCATATAAATACTTTGGTTACCAGTTCCTTGCTCTCAAGCCGGGACAGTAGCCGCAACGCAAAAATGAATACTAATCAACAAAAAGATGTACCGAAGAAGAAAATAAAGATGAACACAAATACAGAAAATGAAAATGAAAAGAAAACTACGCGTAAATTTCCAAGTGAACTACAGTTCAATACTGCTGCTTATGTTTTCAAAGAAGCGTTAAAAGTTCACCACCTCGAGCGATCCCCAGAACTAGTACGCAATTTTGAATGGGCTAGGCTTATATGTGATATAAGCCAAGTCAAGTATCGTGAGATATTAGACTACGATCTCGAAAAGGTACTGCGAGCTAAAGCAAGTGGAAAGGTTAAAGTTGAGATACCGGATTACAAAAAGATCCGAACTGCAACTTGTATATTTAGATGCATAATGAAGACTCCCGAATCGGATCGGGATGAACATCAAAAAAAACAAATTAAAATGGTGCCAGGATGTTCTGAATATGAGCAATGATGAATTATATTATATATATAAAACTTCGAAAGGTGGGAAGAAAAAGTCAAAAGCTCCGCCAGTGAAGACATCAAATGAAAAACCAAAAGCGAATACAGCAAATACTACGAAGCCCGCGAACAAATCAAATGTTACTGCTGTCAATAAACGTCACATTCCAGTAATCATATCGAATCCGAATGATAATCCTGCAAGGAGTGCTGCGAAAGCTAAAGGAGTAACATTGCCGAACGCAGCAGCTAATCCACTTAAAGCGATGACTTTTCCTAAGAACACTTCTTCATACACATACTCGGGTCCTCGTCAGTCAACCACGCTGCAGGGAATGACATCGATGAGTAGTTTTCAAAATTCATTCACCTACAATTCCCATCAAGCTAATATGATGTATCCTAACGACCAAGCGACTATGCAGCAAATGACAAAGATGAATAATTTTCAAGCACCCTCCATGTACAATCAGCTGGCTGGAAATACACCTTATCCAGTATATCCTTCCATACTGGGAGCGCCGAGTGCATCTGCGAATACATTTCAATCTTCTTCAGGATATAATCCTCTGAATGTCAATGCTCCAAATTCCGCCTCATTCACAACGGGTTTTCAGTCGCACGAAAATATTGGAAACTACTTGAATCCATCCACTACCATGATGTATCCCAATAATTCAACAACGTGTGCAAGTTCACAACCTACCAAAATGGTAATTGAACCAAATTATGTTGGCGCAGTATCACCAGAACAAGAATTAGTGGTCGGACTTGTAGATCGTAACCACGTATATGGCGATATTAGTCCGGCAAATATGGAGTTAGTCAATAATCGTTTGATACCATTATTTCTCGAAGTATTAAAACAAAGACCGGAATTTGTTGATCACAAGCTCAATGCAGATTTGTACCAGGGACGCATAATGCTATTCACTTTTGAGAATCAAAGAGCAGTGGAACTCTTCAAGAAAACCGTTTATAATTTGGGTGGACTTTGGCCGAGTGCGGACATAACAGTTATACCCAAAAGCTGCATACCACATCGCCCACGCTATCGTACTTTTATACCTGCCGAACCATCTGATCCTGAAACAGTTTTGAAAATCATCAAAGTTGGTAATCCAAACCTACCAACACACAACTGGGAGGTGATAAAAGTTGACCCAGTTCATAAAAATAAACGGTGCATTTGCATTGTCATGAACAAGGAATCATTTGAGCCTTTGTTTGCACAGGAAATGACTATTAACTACGGCTTTGGTTGTATACGACTAAAGATCTTTAAGCGGGATAAACTGCCGAGCGAAAAAGCGGCGTTCGAAGCTAAATATAGCCATAAGCCAGATCCTGTTGCCAGTCAGTCCGTTGTTTCCAGCTCGAAAAAGTCAGCGGGTAGACAAGAGATTCCGAGTAGGTCTGCCGTCGATGAAAGTCGAAAGAAACACGATACGGTAACTCTACTTGCCGAAGCAATTCTAAAGCAGTTAAATGAGATGGAGCGTGCCGATTCGAAGAAGGTTAGCGACAGCTCAGCGTTGTCTAAATGGTTCTAATTCTAGTTCAGTACAAGTTTTGCACTTTCTCAATATCTCTGCCAATTTTGATGTGCGGAGAAAAATTTAGTTTGAAAATATTCTGTAAATGAATGTATATCATACTTTAGCACTTAATTAATTTTAAACTATTTATGTAACTAAAGCTCCTGTTTAAGTATTGGTATATATTGGACCCGAAAATTTCAAAATAAATGACTTAACTCTGGGACTGTTTGGAAATTAGCTTAGTTTGTCTGAATGCAATTTATTTGGAATCCTCAATAGGTGTGTATTCAAGGCAAAAAGATGAAGGTTGAATCCATGCAGTGGTGCTAATGATTGATTCAGGTAAGTGTTCTGCTCTTTCAATAATTGTTGATTTTACAGTACTTGTTGTTGTTGTTGTTGTTGTTGTTGTTGTTGTTGTTGTAGCGGCTACACAACCCCGCCCAGGACGGTTGGTATCTCAGTCGTTGTCGTCAAGTTCCACTAACGGCAACCCTAGGAAGCTTGCAACTTCTGTGGTGTTTGTCCACAGGGACAAGGCCGTTAGGGTTGTCGGGTTCTCCGGGCATGCGAAGAGATGTTTCGAGTCGTGTGGGGTCTCTCCGCATGCCGGACACTCATTCGGCACATCCTTATTCAACCTACTCAGGTAGGAGTTCAACCTGCTGCAGTAACCGGAGCGAAGTTGTGCAAGTGTTGTGCGTGTCTCCCGAGGCAGATGAAGCTCCGTCACGTCTATGTCCGGGGGTGGTATGCCTAGAACGGCATTCACAGGTCTAGAGTCTACATAACTCGAGACTGAGTCCCTGTGAATGCCGTTCAGGGCCTGTCGGTACGCTGTCGGGTCCAGAGGTTGCTTAATGAACCTCTGGACTTCGTCCGTCAGTTCATATAGATGCCTCCTGACGTGCCTAGGCGAGGGCTCCTCTGCAAGCAGCTGTCTGCTTGGGTGGCCACTTCTGTGGCTCCCGATCAGGAACTGCTTGCAGAGCATTATATTGTGCTCCTTTACAGGGAGCATTTGCGCCTCGCCGTGCAGGTGGTGTTCAGGCGACATCAGGAGGCATCCTGTCGCTGTCCTGAGTGCGGTGTTCTGTACAGTCTGTAGCTTCGTCCACTGCGTCCTACTAGTCCCAGGCGACCACACTGCCGCTGCGTAGTTCAAAACCGGTCGGCCTATTGCCATGTATGTTGCCAGCAACGTTTCTTTGTCTTTGCCCCAAGTACTGCCGGCTAGCGACTTGAGGACCTTGTTGCGGCTTTGTACTTTATTGACAATAGCGGTTGAGTGCGCAGAGAAGGAGAGCAGGCTGTCGAATGTTACTCCGAGTATTTTGGGGTTATTCACCGTCGGAATTGGTGTGTCATCGACGTGAATCCCCAGCTGTAGCCGGACCTCCTTCGTCCAGGTTGTGAACAGGGTCGCGGAGGATTTCGTAGGGGAGAGGGCTAGACACTTTGCAGTGAAGAAGCGAGAAAGTTCGGAGAGATACCTGTTTACTTTCGAACACAATTCCATTCCCATTCCATTCAACAAAGTTGAATTGCTGTGCAACTTCGTCTCTTGGACCGCAGCTATCAATATACCATGCCGACATATGAAGACGGTTATCTCCTCAATCTTGCTCTGTAGCCCGTTGCAGTTAAATTGAAGGAGCTTCATGTGGTTCGGGAGACGTGTCGTGATGTGGGGTGTGAGTGAAGTGTATGTTCTTGCCGCCGTTGGCTATGTGTGCTGCTGTGGTGATTGCCGCCCTGCGGTGGTGGCGGGGGCGTCGCATTCGGGGTCTGCGACCGAGCAGCGCAACACGGGCCCTCGAAGTTCCCAGTCCAATATCGCGTGGTACGCAGACCTGAGCATGCCCTAAAGTGGCACCAGCCAAGGCAGGTGTTGCACTTGACTGATTTCACATTACAGAATATCCTGGTCTGACATACCGTGCAGATTGTAGGGGGGAACCAGGAGTTGTTGGCGGCGGCGTGCGGGTGGTGGTGCGGTTGTGTGTGTTATGTGGTTTGTAGTGGCTGTGGTACGGTCTGTGGTGTTATTATGTTGTTGTGTTGTGGTGACTGTGTGAGGCTGCTGTGTGAGTGTGTGAGGCTGCTCGGGCGGAC